ATATTCAATTTTAAAAAACAAAAATATGTGCAGCATTTATAAAATTTTATAAAAACAGTCAGTTATTGTGTTTGTTATCCTAAGATGGGGAATGATCTGCCATTTCAGAAAAAAAAATAATTTGTTCTCCTTTTGTTTCTACAACTAACAAAAATGAGCTCTAAACATAAAAACAACAACAAAACCAAAACAACAATAAAACTTTTTGTATTTGGGCAGGTATACAGACAGGCTTTTCTTCATGAATGCAACTTCTTTCCCACAGTTTCTGGAATTTATAATATGAATTTTTATTGCAGAGGGTATTTATACTTGTTTAGATTTTTCCCAAGTATTTAAGATTTTACAACTATAACATCAGTATATTATATAATGTTTTTGTATTCATTTATATCAGCACTAAATACAAAATAAATGGAAACAGTGAAAATGGAAAGTTATTCATTTGTATTCAACCTCAAACACTATAGTACCGCTACATGGAATCCAGTGAAGCAGTTGCCTTCTGCAGTCACTTAAATAATTAAGTCAATGTGATGTACTTTTGTGTAACTTGATTTTAGTATAGATACAGCTCTTCTTTGAAGATACTTTGTTAGAGATCATCAATCTTTAGGAAGACCAAGGATTATGGTCTGTCATCAGAGGTACACACACAGAGATAGTATGGCTTAAAACCAAAGGTGTCAAGTAACAAAGTACAAATACTTTGTTTCCTTACTTAAATTAAAATGTTTGCTTTCTATTCTTTACTGGAGGAATAATTTTTTGACAACTTTTTATATTTTTTGAAATTATCTCTATGTTCTCCTCATAACATTTTAAAAATAGACTTTTTAGATTTGTTTAATTTAATCTCATTTTTGTTATGGACTGTTAAAAAAAATATAAACCATCAAAATGATTTGTCTCATCAAGACCATTAATATCTTTGTGGTTCGACTCGGTACTGCAGCAACTTTTTGTTTGCCACATACCAAAATAGATTGTTTTTCAAGATGATGCAATGTTAAATTTGCCTCTGTTACCATTAATTATAAAACTAAGAAAATTAAGTATAAGGAAGTTATCATCTAGAATTGTAGAAAAAAATCCCTGCATGACTTTTACTTTTATACTTAAAGGGGTTTTAAAATGTTTACTTTTTAAACTTTTACTTGAGTAAAAAACTTCAACTTTAAAAAGTAAGATTTCTACTGCTATTTGAGTAATAAACATAAATTCTTTTTACACCCCTGTTTAAAACAAACCTTACCGAGATACGATCATATAGAGTAAAATGTTCTGATCAGATGGAAAAAGAAGTCACCTTTTTCAATATATCGTTTTCACAGCCAATCACAGAGGTAACTGAACCCTTTTAATTGATTCCTTTCTTCAGCAAGGACAGAGCTAAAGGATGGATATTAAAGAGATGTCTAGATATTCAAAGATCATGGAGGATGAGTACAAAAAAAACTAGCAATTTTTTCACATCTTTAATTATATTACTTTCCTTCTACTTTTTAACATTTGTGCTTTTAACCTGACCAAACAGCTGGGTGGAAATACTTTTTTCATGTGCAATTTTCAAACAGAGCTATTTGGTCTCATTTCAATTACAGCAAAGAAAAAAAAATGTCCAGAATTTCCCCATTATGGGAAAATAAAGAGATTTTCTATTCTATTCTACAGCAAAAAAATAAAACAAAAAAAATTATATATATAAAGAAAAGAGAAGCACCAAACATATCAATCCACAGCTTGATTTAAAAGGAGGATCCTGCACTGATGAAACAGGAAGGATATTTGATTATCCTCATTCCTGGTTAATAAAAACAAAAAATACCCAAAAATGATCTTTGAAAATAATTATATATCCTCAATGATCATCAAGCACACTGTTTATCTTATAATTATGTATTGCATTTTTCTTATACAAAGAAAATAAGTCCAGTTGCCAAAAGTTGAAGTACATATAATGACTACGACCTGGATGATGGAGAATTTTCAGACAAAAAAAAAAAATTTGAAATGTCCCAAACTATCGGGATGAGGGATCCTGTCAAGAGTTTTCTTGGTATTTACAGTGTCCATCAAGGAGAGGTTAAGTCTGCTCAGGATGTTCTGGTCCTTAGTGAGCTCATCCTGAGCACAGTGAGCTCGGCTACATCTGTATCCTGCATGTCCACCTCCTGTTTGCAGCTTTCTCTGATTACATACACAACCAGACCCACACAGATGAAAATGAGGAGGATTATTCCTATTACCTAGAAAGAGACAAGTAGGATTAGCCAACAAACACACAAATGAAGCTGCATGAAGAGCTTTCATTATGTTATGATGACAGACATGTCTAACATAGTAATTACTTTGGAACCAACATTTTTCCCTCTACTCTCAACACAACATCAACAATCTGTG